GTCTCTTCTCCCCTTTGGTTTTCTTTCTCTCCCTCTCTTTCTTTCATTCTTTCTCCCTGTCCTATCCCCCAGTCATGTCTGTCCCGTTTGTAGCAACCGAAAATAAAATAAATTCATAATTATAATAAAGGTCAATCAAATGGACCAATATGGCAAGGCCATGATGATCCACTTGGTAAAATAATAAATCCGCTTGGCATCTTTCTTGGCCTTAATTCTGATGGCTAAAGATCCAAACGGGACACACAAAAAAAAAAAAAATGTAAGGCAAGAGAAAAAAGGAACTGCTAACGTATTTATTTACTATATGATTTGTGTCTCCTTTATTAAAATATTCAAAGGTTTCCTTTAAAAATGCTTACAGTACTTTATTTCTTCTTACCAGTAAGACCTCAAATTGTTACTCCCTCATTCTTGTATACTTCCTAGTAAATATTTTAAGCGAATTAAAATGACAACTTAATTTTGGATAAATTGTATCAGAAATACACAGTAAACTTTGGGGAAATTACACCCTATGTCATGGGTTGTTTTATTAAGTGCTACCTTTTCTTTGCATGGTAGAGTCCATACTTGCCTCTGTGGACAGACACAAAACACCATGTTCAATAAAGTGTTCCTGTATCTAAAGTGTAAGTATAGGGATTAACTTATTAAATGGTTAACAGGTGTGCTTTCTGCATTTATGTTTTACACAGGAAACAGTTTTTCTAGTGAATGAAATGTGTGATTAATTAATAACAGTAAGTGTTTAAGACGTGTGTGTGTGTGTGTGTGTGTGTGTGTGTGTGTGTGTGTGTGTGTGTGTGTGTGTGTGTTCACATGCATGTAAATACAGGTTTGGACCCATCATGGTATGTGCAACATGTGGTCGTGTGGGACCCTCAGACAGACCACATGTTCTTCTTCCTGCTAGACGATTGGCTCTCTGTTGACAATGAGACGAACAGCACAGTGGAGAAGGAAGTACTTGCCTCTTGTAAGGTTACAGATGTTAATCTGAACTCAACTGTTTAAATGTAAAAGCACTAAGGCCATGTGTGCTTTCTCTTCCTGTAAACTGAAATATTTTTCTTTCATTGTCTTTGAACCGTTCCATTTGTCCCCAAAGGTCCAGAGGAGCTCACTCTATTTAAAAGGGTGTTCACCTCCCAGCTGATATTTGGCATGGTCGACCGGCACCTGTGGCTGTCCCTGTTGGAACGCCCCCCTCACAGCTGTTTCACGAGGGGACAGAGAATTACTTGCGGTGCCCTTATGCTGCATCTCTACCTGGCACTGGGGGCTCTGTGGTATGGAGCTGTTGGCACTGTGGGGCACAGGTGAAGTGACTGAGAGTACTCAATACTCGAAGATCTAATAATTCCAGATATAAGCAAGTAAATTATTGATCAAATCGATATGTGTTCCTTATACTCAAGTGGACCCATTTCAGCCCATCTGCTGGCCAATGTGGAGACGGTTGCTGTGGGGATGACTGTTGCTGTGCTGGTGTTTCCTCTCCAGTGTTTCCTCTGCTTCCTGTTTAGAAAAGCTCACAGTCGGGTAATTAAAAACAGTATCAACTTTTTATTTATTTATTTATTTTACTAGTGAACCTATTTAAAGTAACTTGAAGATCATTGCATTAATTTCAAAACATTAGACAGAATACTCGTGCCATCAGAGAGTTGTTGATTAGAGGTTGTGTCAGCTGTGCGTCCATGCTTTGTTTGTTAAACACTCTCACCCACATAGCAAAATGGGTATGGCCCGGATCTGGCCCACACAATGTGCTTACACATAGCCCACATACCGCAAAGAAGGATGGCCCTTTGGTGGCCCAGATCTGGTTTGCCAGATGTGGCCCACACATGGGCCAGCACAAGACCAGTTGTAGACACACTGCTGGCCTTGTGCTGGCCTATAACAGTTTCAGCTCTGGCCCCAGATGTCAGCCATGTAATACCAACATGTGCTGGAACATGATAGTGCAAAAGCAACATGACAAAACTCTGTTCAGACAGTGAATGGACTGATTCTTATACAATGCTTTTCTACTCTCCCAGATTACTCAAAGTGCTCTATACAACATCCCACATTCACACACTCTCTCTAAGCTGAGTGCTTACTAACCACATTCATACTTATAACATGCAGACAGGGATCGAACCACTAACCTTCCGATCAATAGGTGGCCTGCTCTACCACCTGAGCTACAGTCACCCAATGGCAAAGATGAGTAAACCCTCACTAGGTTTTGGATAAAGTGTAAACTCACAAACCTGTCAAACCTGCATTTGAAAAGTTGGCTACCATACCAGTATAGTATTGCAACATGGCATTTGGGTCTTCTAACTAAAATAAGAAAATAGGAACATAAATAGTGCCATCATTGCCAGACCTGGTCCACATCTGGTTGACATACATCCTGCCATGACACCAGTCAGTCAGAAGTGCCAGCTTGATACCGGATCCCAGCCAGAGCTGTTTTCTATGGGCCTGGGCCACATAAACCAAACCATAATCGTGCCAGATATGGCATGCCATCACATAGACAGTGCCATCTATGCCAGGCCTGGCCCATATCTGGATGACATACGTCTTATCATGCCAGAAGTCCGCCAGCAGTGCCGGCTTGATACCAGATCCGGGCCAGACCTGCTTGCTATCTGGGCACTTGTGTGAGAGTACACTCAGAAATGTTAATGCTGCAGGTGTATGTTTACATGTGACTCAGGTAACCGTGGACATGTCAGTCCCTCCCTCTCCTGTTTGTCACTCTGTGGAGATGGACGTATTCCTTGGCCAATCGGAGTTCTCCTGCCCTACTTTTCTGTCTTTGCCAGATTCCTCTGGCCGAGTCACTGACAGTCCTTCATCCGTAAGGACATGCACATACACAGTATACTTGTTATTTTACTCCTGTCTTTTTCTTAGAATAACTCCAGTTGTTATTCTATCTTTCTCCAGTTGCCGGAGAGTAAGGCCTTAGACTCCAGCATCCTGGACTTCTGGGCTGCCTCTGGTTTGGCGCCCAAGAAGTACGAAGCACATCAAGAAGATGGCATCGTAGCGTGGCCATCATGTGACAGCCTACTCAGTCTACCAGTGGGTTCAAGCCCCTCCAAGCCAGCTTTAGCCCCTGACCCCTGCAAGGCTTCATCTGCTCGTCAGCTAAAGCGGAAAAAGGCCTTGATGCAGCTTCACTTGACGCCGCACAAATCCCCAGATATGAACTCCAATCGAGTCCAAGTTCACAGCCACAATCTGACAACACTTCTTACTCTTTCCGGTAAGAAACTGTTAAAGTGTAATTAATTTCTGCTATTGACGTGAATGGTCTCCAGCACTTTGCTTCTTGCTGTTTCTTGCCAACTTTCTTTAAAGTAAAAAGATTCCAAATCTGTTCTGGGAACAACAAGTTTGCTGAATAACGTCTGATTCTGTATTCTTGTGTTTGGTACCAGAGGAGGATTTACTCATGTCTATTGAAGCAGCAGACGACACAGCAGATGCTAAAAACAGCAACTCAGACAGTGGGCGGGATTCTCCGAGAACAACATCCTCAGTCTCAACCATGTAAGGAAAATAAAGATTTATTTTTATGACGTTCTTTATTGACAGGTAACATTCTGTATCACTTCAACTTTTTTTTTTTTTTTTTTTTAGGCGGAGCACCTCCTGCAGCAGCTGGTCAGAGCACAGTGAGGATAACTCCCAGTATGGCACTGGACTCTATGAGTGTCCATCTGTAGACTCGATGGCAAGCACCTTCCTGCCAAGCACTTCTCCTGACTCCACATGTTCCTTCTACACGACACGCATAGGTACCATAAAAGGTTTTTCTTGTTAATTGTACCCACAAATGTATTGTCAGATGTACTCCAGTACTCCTTCAATGAGTGGATACTGTTTCAATAAAGTGTTTTGGGATGGCTTAAGAATGGGAAACAGATCTGTGTGGGCACCTAATTCCTAATGCAACAGCCCAGTAATGGAGCAGGTCCATAGGGCAGATCCATATCTGCAATCAGTCACCCATACTACATATACAAATACAATTCACAATTATCATTTTAGCTAACTATATATAAGTTTAAGGCCTTTTCTATTACAAAGCACTGTACTGGGGAGAAGCTGAATATAAGAAACTGAGGTACTCATCACTATTTCCATGAGTCCCTTTACAGTTAACCCTGGTTTGGAATCTTTTTGTTAGACTATGAGACAAAAACCATCCTATCTAGAATTTTTTATTCACATTTGGAGATTTTATTTGAACAGGTGTTGCTCGGAGTCAGCCAGGCAGGTTACTTCCTTGCTGGGCGCTGCGTGTCATTTATCCTCTGCTCACTTTGCTGCTTGGAGCGTGTCTGGCTGTGATGGGACTCTATGGAAGCTGCTTCTCCAGGACAGTAGTACTCATGTGGCTGGTATCAGCACTTTCTGCCTTTCTCACCTCTGCTCTGCTGCTGGAACCTCTCAAGGTGAGTCAAGCGTGTGGTCCAGTTTGTTCACCTCTCAGGGTTTTGGCAGATTATAACTCCTTTGACTTGCATGACTTGCATTTGTATAATGTTGAGTTGACAAGACAGTTTTTATCTTTCACGCACTCCTGCAGTCACACACTAATCTACCAATACTGAAGCTGGATCATGTGCACTCACACAAAGTTCAGACGTTCCAACAGTCATTTCAGTCTAATCAGACTTGTCCTTTGATTATCTCTTTGATTATGAATAAAGGTGATGTACTGTTAGCAAACAGGAAAAAGCTCTGTTTTAGCACTCATTGTTAACACATAAGGGTGGATGTTCAGACTTTCTACCCTCTCTCAGATGTCCTGACAGGAAGTTGGGGCAAGAGCTTCAAGCTCTCTCCATCCAACCTCTCTTGACACCTGTTTTTCAGGTGTGTGTGCTGGCCTTGATCTACACAGTCCTGTGGAGACCTGTGGATCCAGAGGTGGAGGAGCAGCTGTCTCAGGAGGCCACTGTGGTGAGGCCGTTTGGAGAGCAGAACGGGAAGGTCCGACCGCCATGCGGCTACGGCCTGCTGCAGGCGAAAGAGGAGGCTCGCAAAGTCCGAGCACTGCAGTCAAATATGAGGGTTAGGAGAAAATATTTAAGATTTATTTCTGTCTGGGAATTTTTCTTCCCAGACGTCACACTTTTTTTCTTTTTTTTGCAGCAGTGTGTGTGGCAGCTGTTATTTCTGTTGCTGGTGCTGATGGTGAACTACCAGGATGCAACTGAGCAGAGACAGGCCAGGCTTCTGCACTCCACCATCAAACAACGTCTTCACGCGTCACCCTTGGGGTTTCCCAACCTCACCTCACTCAAAGAGTAAGGGTGACACCAAATGCCACACACACACACAGCACACTGTAGCCACACAGTGTAAAATGTGGGGACAAATCTCGAGTTCTTTAAATTCAAAAGGTCCGAAAACATTTAGATGTTTAATGATTGCTGAGCTAATCGACAGAGGGGCAGATTTACTTAAGAGGGCAAAATAGCATGTGAGGGCAATCCCCAAATAGCGCTAATAAATGTGGTCAGTTTTATAGGTGAAATACAAAATTGGTGCTGTTCTTCTAAACAGCTCATTTGAATAACAAGCAAAACAAAAGAAGACGTTTCTTTTTCAGCATCAATTATTGGCACAATCAGCAGTAAATTGTGCATTTCACACATTAGAAAATCTGTTTGCACGCTTGATTTAAATTTCCTGTTATTTGTGGCTTAAGAAAATAAATCTCTGTGTTTCCACCATTTATATGCACTTTTGTAACTGCACTTTTTTATGCAAGTTTGCACTAGAGTAACGTGTTTGCAATTCTGGTCCCAACTCACTGAAAGAACTGTGTCAGATTTATGCTGTTTATATCAGACATGATAAGAGCTGATTGTTGTGAACTTTGACCTTCTGGGTCCCCCCAAATAAGTAATTACATTTTTTTCTTGGTATCTATACATGACATAGCAAACAACAAGTATGTGCATAAGTGTTTTCTTTAGCTATCCTAACCGTGGAGCAGCTTTTTCATTTTTCAGTGGAAACAGAACAACGTCGTTTCAACAGTGATTGCTGGGAAAATCACTCGTAATGAAATTAAATGATTTTGTTTTTTTTATGTGTGTAAATTGTCGCCAAATGCAATTTGTTTTTTAAATAGTGACATATTTAAAAAAAGACAAGATTTAAAATGGCATAGGATTACTGTCGTATAAAACAACCAAAATTAAGCACTTAACTCCAAGTCCTTGTTACAACCATTAAAAAAAATAACAATTGGAATAGGTATTGAAATGGTTTTAAAAAGGCCAATCATAAAAGTCTACATTGTGCAGTTGTTTTTACTCATTTTAAGTACATTTAAAAAGAACAAAGAAAAAAAAGGATCATATACAAAATAACATTTCCATTACTATTGTTTCAGTTCATTAAAAAAAATTTTTAATTCCAGGTTTTTTCCAGTTATCTAAAATGATTTTTCAAGTCTTGCTTTAGTTTTAATTTAGTTTTAGTCACAATTTTGATGTACGTGCACAATGACAATAAAGAGCTTTTCTATTCTATTCTATTAGTGTCACGGCTGCGCTGGCAGCCCGTGGGGATGAGGGAAAGGAGGACCCAAATGCAGGACTCTGGTGCGTTTTTATTTACAGTGCAGAAAATAAAGACAACCAATAAATCCCTGTGTGTTCCCGACTCCCGTTCCGTGTCTCCCTTTCGTGTCTCTGCTCCCTGTGTACCATCCACCGGCTGCTTCCTCATTCCCGCAAATCCTCCTGGTAAACGCACACAAAGGCAGCCTTCAGAAAACTCTAGAATCGCGACAGACTAGCACTTACTGGCTTGCTGGGAAACTAACAGCTAGTCACGCATAACAATCCTGCGTTGTGGAGCTCTCAGCCACACTGCTATGTAGCTCCCCGACGACGTTAGGTCAGCTCCAGGTGTGTGTGATGATCCAGTTGGTAGGGCCACACCCACCATGCCTAAAGATGCCCGACACAGCCGCATCCCTACACATGCACACCTACATACGCCTATATATAGAAAGAAAGGACAGCAGCACAATACAAGGACACGGTACACAATATATTATGTAAGTCCATAATTGCTCACTTTAAATTTACTGCCTGGTAATTTTGCCGGGGACTACTTTCAGTTATGTGTCAATACACGTTTGGTGGACTGCATGAAACAGTGTTTGTGTTGCCTCTGGAGTGCAACTGTTCAGCTTATTCTACGCTTTCTTCTTGCAGCTGGTTTGACACAGAGCTGTGGATCAATCACACCTTGGTGCCACATCTCCACCAAAACCCCTCACTGCGACTCGTGGGCTTACCGCAGCTGCAGTACACACATGCGCTCGGTAGCCAGGCGGTTCACCTTCAGTCAAACAACAGTGGAACGATACCCGAGCTCCTCACTGCCCTTCACACGGCAGGAAGAAGCAGGAAGCAGTAAGTGGAATTGTTAGAGTACCATGAGTGCTTCTCTCAGACATGCTGCGTGTGTTCATTAATACTGTTGAATTGACTCTTTTGCAAATAATGAGGCGTGTGAGCCCATTAGAAGTTGCCAAAAAGCAAAACAATGGAACGTTGTTTTTCTTCTGAAATCAAATGGAGCATTAACACGCAAACGACCAAAAACTGTGGTGCACATTTTGTCTGTGGTGTCCAATCGTCTTCTAATGTCGTTATTTATCTGTTTGTTTATGGCCCACAGATTCTTGCATAACATTTACCCTCCATCGTAATGATGAACTCAAAGCTTTTATTTACGCATGAGTCACGCTTATCGAATTGCATTCATTTACATATTCAGTCGACAAAAAAAGGACAAAAATAAAAAGGTGAGTTTTTATTTGATGATTTCTTTTCCTTCGCTCCAGGTTTGAAGCTCTTTCTATAGAGTTCACTCAGTACCACAGAGAGTCTGCTTTATTTCTGTGCGTGTGCATAAAACTTGAGCAGACTCGGACACAAGCCATCACATCCTGTCTCTCTATCCATCCACTCCTCATCCCTTTATCCGTGTCAGGACTGGACCTGCAGACGGCACTTCCGGTAACAAATCCTGCAGACTTTCAAATGAAAATCTTTCACCATAATCTGGTATTTAGAGCTTAATAGTTAATAGAAAGTACTTATTCACCCAATCCAATGACTTTATATCGCAGATTCTTCTGCTCATCTCTGCTCTCCTGACTGTACTTGGGGAGCTGTGGTCTGTGGCCACTGAGCGCACCCAGTATCTGCATCAATGCCGTCACTGGTTCCAGCTGCTCCTTGCCTTCTTGTTGCTGACAACAGCTATCCTGCAGCTCCGCTTCCTGTCTTGTGCGTCGTCATGTGTTTCCCAGGTAAAGAATAATATTTTAAAAATCCTCAGTATTCACTAATGCTACACCAAGCAAAACAAAATTAGTATTCAATAACCTTTATGTGCTATTTAGCTGCGGTCCCAACCAGACAACTTCATCAACTTCCACAGTGCTGCCCTTCTGTCACAAAGGTCCTCTCAGTGTGCAGCCATCCTGCTCACTCTGCTTGTTCTAAAGGTGAAGTATTATCTAACACATGTCCACAGATATTTCACTTTGATTAAAAAAACAAAACAAAAAACCCCCAACTCATTCCTATTTCCAGCTGCTGGGAACCTTACGGTTTGTGCAGAGGTGGGCTGCGATAGGCAGAGTGTTGCACAGAGCCTGGAGGGAGCTGCTGGCTCTGGCTGTCCTACTACTGCTGCTGATGCTGCTCTGCACTCACCTTGGGAATGTGGTATGAGCAGAAAAACATCAGCTTAAGCAAAGATATTTAAAAAGGCGAGATGAAAGATATTTGATATGGTTTCTTTCAGCTTTTTTCACTATCAGTAGAAGGTTTCCTGTCAGTACAAGACACCAGTGTCTCAGTCTTGTCCTTTCTTCATGGTCGGATCGTCCTGCAAAAAATCTGCCAGGTCCACCCCATCCTGGGCCCTCTCTATGGGCTGCTTCTCATGGGAGGAGGTGTTTGGGTTTTGGCTAGACTCTGTGGAGCTGTTCTTATCCATACTTACAGGTACACAACATTACCTTTCTTTAGATGCTATGTTTGCTTTAACCAAAGTTAGGTTTTGTTCTTTTTTCAAAGACAACAGAGTTTTGTAGACTGTCGAAGTTGTTAGCCCTTGAGAAACTGTGTTTTAAAGACAGAAATAGCCCTTTAAGCCCTTATAGGCCTTAAACAAGTTTATAATCTTGCCATACTGACATCTGATGTTTGGCAATTTGTAGCTGTGAAAGTCTTCTAGGTGTCTGGTTACCTAGAAATTCCATCTTAAGATAGAAAGATAATGTCACGGTTCTGGGTCCTTTTGACCCAGCATTTTGAGTTTCGTGTTCTAGTAATATTTTGTATTACGGGTTATGTTCAGCTCATTTGATTGTAATGTAAATGGAAAAAAAAAAGAAGATGATCTGTAAATCTTTTAAACATCCCAAAGTCAGCAATACCCATGAGATCAGAAATGCAGGCTTTTGAGTGCTGATAGCAAGCCAAACTTTCTTTTTCGATTATGTTATAGATGTCCTGATATCTTTGTTTGAAAATTCTTGGCAGACCTCATAATTCATGGCTTTGTATATGATGTTATGTTATCTTGGCCTAAACTCAGCAAAAGCACTACCAAACCATGATGGTACCAACCCCGTGTTTCACAAATGGCAAAAATAAAACCTCTTTCATTGCAAAGAAGTTGCACTTTGTAACCCTGCACAGTATTACACACCTTACTGTTGAAGTGATCTTTGAATTTCTATTACTTTTGTGATAATAGAGTAATGTTTTCAGTAAGAATTTCTGTATTTCCACATAAATATAAGTGGTTCACAAAATTTTGAGTGCCACATTGTATCATAGGAAGTTTTGTTAAATGGCATGTTGTTTTGAATGTTTTGCTGAAATTTACTGAAGATAGAGCCACAGAGGGATCTTAAGTTTTAATAAACCATCTTCTTTCGTCTTCTAAAGGGCAGAGCAGGCTGAGTTGTTTCATCCAACCATTAAACCTCAGGACTATCAAATGGTGGAGTTCTTCATCAAAAGGCTCAAGCTATGGATGGGACTCACTAAGGCTAAACAGGTGAATAGACTGCTAAATGTGAAGCATTCCATCAGGAAGGCTGAGTAACTAAATTGTAGCTGTTGTTGCTGATTCTGCACATTTGTTCCCCTTTCTAGTTCAGACACAGGGTGAAGTTCAAAGGCATGGGCATCCCTCCTTCCAGGTTTTCACAGGAATCTTGTCTCTCCACCTTGTCTTCAACCGTTTCTTATTCCCGCTCCCCTTCTTCATCCTCCGCATTCTCGTCCCCACGTCCTCTATCCTCGGCTCTCTCCAATGGGTCTAAGGACTCGTCAGTGTCTGAGCTTGGTTTTGAAGTCCAGCAGTACCTAGACAGTCTGCTGCCCCGTGTTACTGCTCTGTTATCTCGTTTTGATCGGGTCAACCAGATAAGTGAGGACATTTACAACCTAGAAATTAAACTGGATGAGGTTCAGACCAGGAGAAGGAAGACATGGATGAATTATGAGAAAAAAAGTGAAAGAATCTTTGGAGAGTTAGGAATACCAACAGGCGCAGATGAAGGAAGGATAACAGGAGAAGTTACTCACAGGAAGACCAGTCTCCATCATCCCAAGCTACCAGTCTCCCTTCCATCTACACTCCAGTCCTCTGTCCCTTCAGTGTACATGTTTCCCAATACATATATCTCCTATTCCGAGTTTGAGTCAGTAGCAGTTCAACCTCAGCCAGCTAGTGTTGTGCACTCTTGCGAAGTTGCCGACCCTACACCTGGAATCAGTGTATTGTATTCAAAAGCTTCTCAGTTTGAAAAGTTCCCCAGAAGAAGAGCGTGGCATTCTGGGAGCTCTCATTCAGCTGATGCTGCTCAGAGGACATTCCAATTGTTGGAAGTTTCTCCATGTGGAAACGGAGAAGAAAATTCTGCTTTTAATCCCAGACCCAAAAGTGAAGAAGGCTTAAGAAGATCTATCGGGGATGGGATTCCAGTAAAGAGGAAAGCTTGGATCTCTGAAGGACCAGAGACTGAGTGAGAAACCTCACAATAGAAGAAAAATGTCTGGGTTTGGAAAACAGAATCATTTGAAAAAAATGACCAAAATGAAGACACACGTTTTTGCTGTTGTCCATTTAATGAACATTTTACTGTACTTTACAACATTCTATAACTCTAAGTGGTAAAGACACTGTGCTGTAGATATTCTGTTCTGCAGATGAATAAAGGCATGACCATTTGATTCAGACATTGCAATATGTTTGAAATCCACTCCAGGAACAAGAAAAAGTCCCCCAGATAGCAATATTAAATTATAAACCAAGAAATTGTTTGGCAAGAAGCAGGAGCAGCAGCAGGTCAGCTTATACATAACAAATTCCAAATAGCAAAGAGCAGGAAACTAGAAAACATCCCTAATTAACAGAATGTTACAGTTTAATTGGACTTTATGCTCCACATCTTTGAACAGAGAAAGTGTTCCCTCATAACATTGTGTGTACTTCTGTGTGTTTGCTTTAAGTGTTAACATAACCTAGGACTATTTTACATACACATGTTATATTGTTACCTAACCGAAGGAATAGAGATAATTTAAGGAACAACACATTCTGACATGTAAGTGCTGGAGTGACAAACCCAGTCAGTGGAACCAATGCTGGATAAATGGGGATAGTTCCATTAGGAAGAGCATCTGGCATAAAATCTTAGTCAAAACAAACTTTCAAATTCTGGTTCATAAAGAATAAAATTTCCATACCAGATTAATAGGGGCCAGGTTAACAATGACCGCCTCCGGTACTGTTGGCCAAGAGTGTGCTGGTGGAAACTGTGCTACTGCTGGCAGAAGACAAAGGAAGAAGAAAGGGGGGGAGGCATGTTAGGAGGGAGCAAGAGAGAAGGAAAGGCAGGAGTTTTTATGTAAGAGTAGGGACTTTAAGTCTAAAAGAGAGAGAGCTGACTTCTACCATGGTGTAGATATGAACAGAAATGGAGGATGGGTGATCTTAAAAGAAGAGTATGTGAATAGTGAGTATTAGGCATTTAACATCATTTATATTCTGCTAAAGTTTCGTTGTTAATATAATGCAAATATAATACAAATAAGCCTACAGTTTAACAACCCCTTTATAAAAAACTTACATATAACAGAATAACTTATTGTTAACCTCACTGACCTATTACAGTGTTCATAGAGCTCCACTGTATCTCTCCTCCAATCTGCATATCGTACAATAAACCTGTAGCCTAAGACAAATGAACAACACCGAGTAACACAACTAAAGTTATGAAACAGCAACTACTTTGTCCCAGCACATAAGCAACAGTCACCTGTGTGTGTGAGGAATAAAAGAGGAACTGTCTTATTCTTTTACAAATGAAGTCATTAGTTATAAATCACAGCCTTACTTATTTGTGTACAGGATACTCTCTCAAGTCATCTGGTTTGACCAGTTTTCTAGCCCACGGTGAACAATGTTTGTTGACTTATGACTCAGCTAAATTTGTGCTAATTATATACCTTGTGTTTTAGCATTCATAGTTTCCCTATTGACAAAGGTTTTTTTACTCAATTTGAAGATTTAATAATGGGCCCTTTGACCCTGTTCACAGTCAGGTCTGCTGTTCTAGTTTTCATTTTGTCCCACCTTCGCATTTGTTACAGTAGTCTTCATCTTTTGATTAAACTGTCCTATTGGTGAACCCAGTGCATGCCATGCTATGAGGCTATCTGAAAGACTTGTTTATGCTTGGTTAAGAAGTTAGATGAAAATTAGTGAGATGCAGTATGGCTTCATGCCAAGAAAGAGTACTACAGTGCAAACATGATGTTTTCTATGAGAGCAAACATCATATGCTTTATCTGCTTTATCTACCAATAAAAAAAGATGGCACACACCAATTTGTTAGACTGCAAAAAAACCCTCTAATTTTCTGCTTCTAACTTCAGATAAAACTGAGATAAAACCTATTGTAATTTGACATAAAAACAGGTTATCAAGCCAGATAGTTACTCTGGAAGACATTATCTTGGCCTCCAGTCACACTGTGAAGAATCTCACAGCCATTTCAATCAGGCTCGTTTCCTCGGTGAATATTAAACATCCATCCATTCGCTTCCGCTTATCCTTTTCAGGGTCGCGGGGGGCGCTGGAGCCTATCCCAGCTGTCATAGGGCGAAAGGCGGGGTACACCCTATACAGGTCACCAGTCTTACTCAGATGTGAAGGTGATTTATTGACAATACTGAACATAAAGTGGAGATGGCAAAACAGAACTAAGGACGAACTAAACTGGGAGAAACTACACAAAGGGAGTGGCAAACCTGAACAAAGGACGAGAACTAAGGGATAAACTACACAGAGGAGTGGCAAACCTGAACATGAAGGGAGAACAGCAGGGAGAACACGCAGAGGATTACACCAGGTATGTACACAGACGACGCGACGAGGAGCAGAGGAAATCACACACTATAAATACACAAAGAGACACTGGGAAATCACACACAGGTGGGAGACACAGCTGGACCTGATTAACCTGACGAGACAGGGGAACACTAACACCAGGGACCAATAGAGGGAGCACAAACCCAAAACCCAGTATCTAAAATCCCAAACACAAACCATCCCAAAACAGCCATGAATAATAATGAAAGTAATAACAATAAAGAACACAAACACATAAAGTCACTCAGTCATGGCCGCAGGACCATGACAGCTTTGTAAGAATGGCAGCAGCTAATGATACAAGTCTATCCCAGCTGTCATAGGGCAAAAGGCGGGGTACACCCTGGACAGGTCACCAGTCTGTCGCAGGGCTAACACATAGGGACAGACAACCATTCACACTCACATTCACACCTAGTGACAATTTGGATTATGCAATTAACCTATCCCCACAAGCTGCATGTCTTTGGACGGTGGGAGGAAGCCGGAGTACCCGGAGAGAACCCACGCAAACACGGGGAGAACATGCAAACTCCACACAGAAAGACCCCGGCCTGATGGTGGAATTGAACTCAGGACCTTCTTGCTGTGCGGCAACAGTGCTAACCACCGTGCCGCCCTGGGAATATTAAACAAACGCATTTAAATGCTTTCTTGCATTTGTGTAGTATCGCTAAGGTTAGAAACACCCTGTCTCAAAGTAAGGCTAAAAAACTAGTTTGTGCATTCATTACTGTGGAATGCTGTCCAAGCATGTGGGATATTCACTCTTCCATGTTTCTTTCCTAATTAAATGTGTATTTTTTAACTTCTCATGTTCCTTAAAGCTGGAGTTCTTCTGCTACATCTCCCTCCTAGTCTCAGTACCATGACTGCCTCACTGGCTTCAGTGTTGGAGGTCACAGCCTGGAGAACCTGGTGATGTCATCAGACAATATTATTCCATCTTTAAAAGAGACCAGACTGTAGTGGGTTTTACCAAAGCTATATAATTACTCTGAAATCACCCTGTCCTTCAAGAACCTGTACATGTTTGTGTTACCATTAATCTGTAGCCTACAACACAATGAACAGCACAGAACAACACAGCTGAAGCTGTGACGCAGCAAATACTTTGGTCACATGTGCCAATGGGGAAACTATAAATGCTAAAAAAAAAAATTTACAAAGCATAATTTCAGCTGAGTCATAAAATCAACAAACTTTGTTCACCGTATACGTTAGACTCGTCAAACCTGATGGCTTAAGAGTATAACAGAGAACAATATTTGTGTACTGTCAGGATTAAGGATGTGATTCCACTTAATCATTAAAATATGTACAAATAGCAATGTGCCAAAAAATACATTTGTTTGGAAATGTTTCTATGTACAGCACCACTGAAGCCTACAACAGAATGATCAACATTGAGCAACACAACTGAAGCTATGAAACAACAATTACTTTTCCCACATGCGTCAGTGACAAAACTAGAAGTTAAAAACACGACACTTATGTAGCTGAACAGTCAACAAACATTGTTCACTGTATGCTAGACTGCTCGTGAAACCAGATGGCTTAAGAGAAGTAGAATATAGCAGATAAATAGGGGTGATCCTGAAGCCAGTTTGACTTTCTAAAAACAACATCAGTTCACTCAAAAACTTGGATCCACCACCCAAGGATGCTAATACCCCAAACCACACATTCTAAAACACGGCATTTGCGTAGTACGAGTTCAGCTGAGTCATAAAGTCAGCAAACTTTGTTCCCTGTAGGCCAAACTATTCATCAAACCTGATGGCTTAAGAGAATAACAGAGAACGATCTTGATGTACTGATTACAGATGTCATTTATTATCTGTTCACTTTGTCAAGAATGAGAAAATTCCCTCTTTTACAACATCAAAGATTTGCAAGCGTAGGAATTTATCAAAGAGAACATAACTTTATACACACACACACACACAGAGAAATATATATATAACATATAACAGCTCAGGTTAAGCAGTTTGGAGACAAAGTTAGAGGCAAAGCTGAGATGCAGACAAATTATAGTGGATATATGGATGAGATGGGGGCAGACGGTGACCCTAAAGCGAGCGGTTGAAAGTAGAAGACATTTGTTGGGATTTTTGTTTGTATGTTCTTTTTTTTCATCTGCGTGACTTATTTTATCTCACCTGAAAGGGATTTCATGTTCCAAACCCCTTTTCCTGTTTTTCCCATGAAACTCAAATGAAGTCCATGCGTGTTCACAAGACAGTTTAACCTGAGTACACTCAACCTATGGTGGGGATATGGAAGCGTTGAGCCAATGAAGATGAATTAGTTGTACCACTTTATACTCTTGTATTCTAGGATTGACTTTAGTATTGGCTTTCACTAAAAGCTAGGAAGGCGTTCATCTTGGATGATTTCATACTGAAAACCAAAGTCAGGCTTGCATCTGTAATTACAGTGAAAAGGGGATTACATTTACTGGTATTTATGTAGTACTTTTATACTAAATTCTAGAACTTAAAGTGCTTTCTTTACTGCAAGGCTCATTCACAAACATTCATATAGGTGATTTTTTTTTTCTACGCCTAAGCACGTTTAACCTAATACTCACACACTCTGACTCCAGGGGAAACACGTGAAACGATTCAGGGATCAGTTTAGTGCCCAGGGATACTTTAGCATTAAGTTAGTGATCACTGATCTGATTGGTAGATGGCCTACTCCCTACCTACTGAGCTACAGCCGCCCTGAAGGATGCACTGCTCTTACACGTGTGCAGGAACAATCCTGAACAAACTTCTGCTTGCTTGCATTTATGCTTATTGTATGTATTTAAAAACTGAATTCAGCTTTTTCATCACTCTCTTTGTGTATATGGCCTTTATTTATTTGTGCATTTATTTTTACATCAGCCAAGAAAACAAAACTGGGACCACCTCTGAGCATTACAAACTCACAAACACACTCCATGTCCCTCATTTGGGATGTATTAATGTGGTTATCCTAGGGAGGCTGCCGATAATAAAGTGAAAAATATTAAGTGACATTAAAGTATTTTAATGCTTTGGAGACTTACATATATAAAATCTATTAAGAGTAAAATCCAGTTTGGATAGTTTTTAATTGTTAATAAACTCTGAAGAGGGGAATTCCAGAAAAATATGAGAACCTCTGTTTTCATCCACATCGGTCTGAGAGGTAAAGATGTGGCAAAATAACGACAATAGCACTAAAAGTTAGTTTAAGGGGATCACTTTTTTACACTTGCTGCAACAGTGAGTTTTATGTTAAGAAACTGATGATATACTGTCCATTTTTATTCTCTGTCTCTTAAGCAGTAAGTGGTTCTTTGTTGTTTGGCTAGTGGCACTGAAACAGGAAAATCCAGCTGTCAGCTGTAATGTTTGGTTTGATAAAGCAGTTTGTAAATGAAGGCTATGTGGAGGAGACCCTGTGTGAGTCAGATGACAGACCAACAAGCTCAAGTCAGAGACTCTGCGTGGCGCAGTCGGCTGGTGCAATCAGCACCGCGTCAAGCAACAAAATAATCTTTTTTTACCCAAGCACATCAAAACAGTTTCTACATGCACATCACATCACACCACGAACATAAACAATTTTCTTACTGAAGCACGATCAGGAATCCCATCAGTATATCCGCAGGGAAAACAGGTCGATGTCTGTGATGGGCCAAAAAGGGGACAAGACGACTCCAAGGGCGAGATAACACACTTTTTAGAGCCGTTTCTTTTTCTATACTGAAACAAGAAGGCGGTAAACATGTTCTGAAACTTGAAGTGCTTATTTCTTAGAACCAGCAACATCTACGTCAGCTTTTTGGAGCAGGGCTCCATGGTGTGAAGTAGGATTTATAGTTCTCTCATGAATGTCACCAAAACTTAACCTCCTCCATTCTCCACACTCTTACAGAACGTAGCCCACAAATTTCAGCTGAAAATCAGAAGCACTGGCTGTCTTTACACTGCGACTCAGAGTCAAGTTGGCCCCACCTTCAAATCCAACAAAAGTGATGTCACACATTTGTGCTGTAAAAATCGTTGTTTGTGCTGCTATCATTTAAAAGATATTAATAAAAGTTTCTAGAGGTCATCAGAGGTCAACCAGCTCACCCCACATTAACGGAAACAAACAAAACTGGTGTCAATCAACTGTGCTATGTTTGTGCTGCTTCAACTTCCCTCTGATCAAGAGTATTTTGTACTCGGGAAGTTGCTGCCACGCAGAGTGAAAGAATATTTCATTATGATTTGTAGTTTTCTCTTCATAACCTTTTGTTTGAGAGGGAAATCCATGTTTGTGTCTTTTTGTGTCTCCCTCTCATGCAGACGAGGGGTTTTCGCACCTCTCCCTCTTCTCACTGATTGTGGTTGCCATAGCAACATAGCTTTTTGGCTATGCCACCCTTTCTTTTTCAGGCTAAAACTCATCAAGGCCGATTCTGTGAGTGTTTAAGAGGGTCAGTGTGCCCTCTGTTTATCAGGACCATTCAAACACAGCTATTATTCATCACAAAAAACATGCTCACATCTTCAAGCCAATACTTCATTATATGACTGTCATTCAAAGTTTTGAGGGCTTACAGGTTTTAAAGGAAGTGGATTAGATATTCAAAATAAAAGCTCCTAAAAACCAAAGCTACTTATCACTGGCCTTTTATCATGCTCCATTTTATGGACTTCAGAACAATGATGATGACAATGATGATGAAAAAAGGATTGGCTATCGCTTTCACAGAGACTTGGTGAGA